TATATATATATACACACACATATATATATATACACACATATACATATACATATATACACACACACATATATGTATGTGTGTGTGTGTGTGTATATATATATATATTTAGCACCAGAGATTTTTGTTATCGTATTTAAGTAGCTAAGAATTTCTATTCAGTTGACTCTTTTGTATATGGGATTATACTATACTTCATAATATTTTGTCCAAAATATAAAATATTTCAACAAAATGTCATTTCCCAGGGATCTGAACAAAATAGATGACTTGATGCAGGAGATCACAGAGCAGCAAGATATTGCCCAAGAAATCTCAGAAGCATTTTCTCAACGAGTTGGATTTGATGATGGCTTTGATGAGGTGAGTAACACTGCATGAACACTGCAGTATCTGTGGCTATTATACAAGGCCATTTCATAGTCAGCTATAGCAGCAAGGTTACCTTCTAACTTAAAGAATTGCCTAATAAAAGGCATTTTTTCCCTAAATGTGCTTCCCTTAAAAAAGAATGCAGTGCTAGTAGCTCTGATTTAAAGGAAAGATTAATATAGTTTAACAAACAATCTCCTAATTAAGTTTTCAGCTATTAGAGGGGGAAAGCAGCATGTGATTATGTAAAGTTAGAGACTTTTAATGGTTGATGCCTAAATGGCCCCATTAAGAGGAATCAAGTGCTTGTACATCTGGGCAAAACAAAGCAGATTGTGTCACTCTGCATGGAAGAGACATATCATGCTCTATAGCTGTTAAATTAGAGGTTAGACTGCTTCTGTTTATTACCCAGGCTATGAAACAAAATGAATGTGGAGTGCCATTATTAACACACACATTCCATTTAGATTAATCAGGCAAATAATACAGACCACAATTACAATGGTGATGTCTGCCCTGTGAATTCAATTGTTCTGCTCAAAATACACACAAGAAGGACTAGTTTATGTTTTGAAACATTTCTAATTATTGGATTAGCATAGCAAAGCATCTGGCTCCTGGTATCTATATTGCTTTAAAAATGATGAAACTGACAAGTGAGTCATGGTGCTATGAAGACTTGGTGAATAAGCGTTAGTGTCAACAGTGTACTTAACTAGTAAAAAAAAAACAGTGTACTTAACTAGTATATACTAGGGGTCAACAAAATGTGGCTTGTGGGCCAACTCTTTCCCACAGCCTGTGTTTTGTGTTAAGAGCCCAGGATAATTTTTACTTTTAAAGAGTTGTAGAAAGCAACAGTAGTAACAACAAAGAAGGTTATACAATAGAGGGTCTACGTGGCCATGCCACCTAACACATTTCTATCTGGTTCTTTAAAGAAAAAGTTTTCCAACTCCTGATATAGACTAATAAACATCTAATATTGTTATTAAGTGCCATTCAGTCAGAACCAACTTATACCTGACCCTCCAGAAGGTTTTCAGAGGCTGTAAATTACAGGAGGAGATTGCTCATCATTCTCCCTTGGAGCTACTACTGTATTTGAATCACCTCTTTGACAGTGCAACTTAGGCCACCAAACTCCCTATTCATCTCGTGAGTGTACGGTAATATAGTAGAAGGGCCTTATGCTGAGCGTGAGAACCCATGGGTTCTACCATTTACTGTTAAGCATTTCTATAACTTTTAAAAATTATTTTTCTGATAGTTTTCTCATCTACTACATTAAAATTACCGAATGACAGATTTATCTTCTCAAGTTCATTATGTTCTAAACTTTTATCTGTGATAGAATAAATGTTCGGGAAAGTTTAAAAATTATGAGGGAAATGATTATTCTGTTGGTCTCATGTTTTCTAAACTAAAAAACTCAGCCTCCTTGCCAATGAATTGATTCTGACTCATAGCAACCCTTCATTGGATTTTGAGGCTGTAAATCTCAATGGGTGGAGACTACTCATCTTTCTCCCTTGGACGTAGTAATAGGTTGGAACCTCCAGAGGAACATGGTTTTTTTTTGGTTAGCAATGCATCAAGCTACTGATTATGCCATGAGACCTCCATTAAATATCTTTTCAGTGCTATCCACTTCTGAAATAGCTTGCCTCTGGAAGCTGCATGAACATGGAGAAACAATGAAAGTTACACAAGTGTTCAGGTCTTTCATTCATAGGGTTGCTATGAGTCGTCTACGGCTTTACGGCACCTAACAACAGCATCAAGGGTTATTGGCAATTCTGAGTACACGTTCCAAGTAGGAAACTCTTTTGCTCTTTCTTTACAATATTTGTTCTAATCTTTAAGAACAAATCTTTACTGTATTGTGCTTACTTGGTTTGTGAGAACAAGCAGCCTGTCAGGGAAGTTGAGTGTGGTGTCACTTTATTCATGTAGACTATGAAGAAGAAGAAGGACGCCTCAACACCCACACACCATCATATTTTATTTCCTTTTCAGAAGGTAAACTTAATAGAAGCTTTTACTGGCTACACATCTAAGATGAGTTGACTTAATAAAATATTATGGTTGGCATGATTCCATTCTCTTGCCCCGCAGTATCATTACTCTCATTCTAGTGTAGGATAATTATTTATGTGTCTGCTGTCTACATTTGAACATGAGATCCTTGCATTCAGAGTGTCTTTTAGTTATCCAGTGCTACTTGTAACAGAGATCTCACAAAGTGGCTTAATTTTAACAGAAAACACACACACACACACACACACACACACACACACACACACACACCCCAAACCCAGAAAAACCTCCCACAAAACAAAAATAACCAAAACTCAAACAACCCCTTATTCCTTCACAGTTTAGAAGGCTAGAAGTCCAAATTCAGGGTATGGACTCGAAGGGAAGGCTTTCTTTCTATTTCAGTTCTAGAAGGTCCTTGTCTCCTTCAGCATCTTCAGACCCAGCTTTCCTGGGAGATCTCCCTCTCTAAATCATGGCCTTCTTCTGTCAAGAGAGCTGGACAGTGGAGGTACTTGAGTTCAAAGGACTCCACAGGGTTCTAGTGATTCTTTCTTGATGATGCTGAGGTCCCAATCCCTACCGTTTCTGCTCTCCCTTTATGTTCCAGGAGACACAGGGTGTTAAAGGTTACAACTCAGAGAAACTTTCAGAGCTGTGGCCTAATTAAAGACGTTGCCCTTACTCACCTTACTCACCTCACAACTGTCTAACTACAGCTTGGATCACATCATTAGACATGACTACATCATTACATAAGTGCCTCTGATCTTGACTCATTGGTATCGTCTTTCTGTTGTTATTATGTACTATTGAGTCAGAACTGGTTCATAGTTGAGCGTCCATATTGGGTTTTTTCAGAGTCTTGGGTTTACAGGAGAAGAGATTGCTCATCTTTTTCCCAAGGAGCTGCTCGTGGATTCAAACTGCTTGTTTTTGCACTGGCATCACAGAGGTTAGGATTTGTAACACTTGGGATAATTGCACTCTATTGAGAATTATGCTCTAGCTAAGTTAACACATATATTTTGGGGACATAGTTCAATCTATGACAGGTGTTGTCTATTCAACTTTGCATTCTCTGCACTGAGTGCAATCAATGCCTGGCTAGCAGTTAGCTCTCAATAGCTGTTAAATGATGAACAGATGAATAAATGATAACTGTACTTGGTTGAATAGAAGAATGGACATGTCACTTGCAATCCTGATGACTTATATTCAATGATGACAAATTTCATTTCCACTCCCAACCTGAGAGGAAATAAGTACTCATGAAATCAGTAAAATTGGACCTATTTCCAGTCTGGGAGCTCTGGGAACCTAGTGGCAAGAAGCTGTGCTGCAATGCTGAAGGCATGCAGTTCAAGGCCCCCAGCTGCTCTGTGGAAGAAGGATGAGTAACCGCCTCTGAAAACCCACCAGAGGGTCAGCCATGAGTCAGTACTGACTCTATGGTCCACAACACAAACAGCAACTTCTCTAGACATGTCAAATCTGTCCCTTAAGGTCTCAAACTCATCCTGCATCCTTAAAGTTCAGGATTGATCCATATGCTCTTAGCTTATAGCTAAAAGAAGGAAATAAAATGCATTTACCTTGAGTTGAAGTTTTCTCAACGTAAATACATAGCATAATTTGTATCTATTTTGATCATATGAAAGAACCATAATATACTTATTTTTCTATATACTATGCTATTTGTATAAATGTTTCTGTTTTATTTTTAATAGCACTGTCCCAAATAAAAATACTTCTTTCTCTCAAGGACATTGTGACTATTTCACAAATTCTTCATTTTTAGCAGGTGAAAAGATAAATTGAAAAAAATAACAAGCAAGGTGTGAATTTCATAGAAACAGTGGAGGTTATATATTTAGCTAATAGAAATTACTTGCATGACTGTTTACTGAAGTATTATAAGATTAACTACAACAAATTTGCACAACCCAAAATATTCATTTTTTAATCATTGCTCAATGTTGCAAAAAGACTTAGTTTTAAAATAAATATTCCAATTCACTGGGTTCTCACATATCAATTGGGTAGCAGATGTTCTTGTTATTGTGTTTGAGGAAACCCACTTCTTGAAACGTTAACTCCATAATTCTCTCACTTTCTCTTGTGTTCAGGATGAGCTGATGGCAGAACTTGAAGAATTGGAGCAGGAGGAATTAAATAAGAAGATGACAAATATCCGACTTCCAAATGTGCCCTCTTCTACCCTTCCAGCACAGCCACATAGACAGCCAAGTATGCCCTCCACTGCTCATCGCTCCCGAGCAGGTCTGGGCCCCAGCTCAACTACCTCTCATCCTTCATTCACCTGAAATAATACCAGGCTCCTCCCTTTTGTTGATATTGTTTTCCTCCCTTTTAGCACATTTCCCCCTTTTTAAAAAAAAAACTTAATTTTAAAGAAAGTTTACAGAGACTTTGGATTTCCAGTCATTCTTTCACTGTTGCACTTTTCTCCCTGCTCACCCTGCTCCCTGCTCCTCAATTTGCTCTTCTCTTTGAAAAGTACAAGAAAAAATTCTTTCCTTGTTATACAGTCCCTCCCCACAAGTCCACTCCACTGTGCAGCCTTCATTCTGGATTCCTGTCATGACAATAATACCTCGTCATATATCCCTTTTAAACAGTTCTCTCCTTCATCTGTTTCAAGTAGCACATATTTTGTATTTCATGAATACACACTTTTCTTTTTTTACCCCAAGTTCATTTCTGTTCCTGATGTTGAAAGTCTTAATGTCACCAAGTACTAACATGTGTCCATTTTATATTCCAGCATCTTCCAGGAGGACACAAGAAGATGATGATGATATCAAGCACTTGGCAGCTTGGGCTACTTAAACTACCTTTTTTTTTACATTTACATGAATGAGGTACATATAAGATCTAGAAGCAAAATGCCAAGCTTAGAAGTTATCAGAAATACTGTTTTGTATTCCCAGTGGATGAATATTTGTCATTTACAATTTAGAAAAGGAATGATGACTTAGAATTAAGGATTATAGCAAATGGAAGGAGTACACTGATGGCAGGAGACATTGGCTGCCTTCCTCACTGTTGAACCTTTCAGCCTTGGAAATATTCACGTTGTATTTAACAAATACATGAAGGTAACTTGATGGCACATAACAACAGCAAAAACATGTACATACATATATTGACGTTTAGTATATTTGTTGAAATAAAGCTGAATTCTATGAACATATCAGACAAAAGGCCATTTATAAACTGTTTAAGAGTGGTACCTTTAGGATTGAGGGGTGGAAATTACCTCCATTAGGAAGTTAATGCCAGTTTGCTTTCTTTATCCATTTTAGTGGAGCTGAGTCCATGGTGGATGTAAATACATTATGTCTCTTTTAGGAGAGACTTCTACTTCCTCTAGAATTGTCTTGTGTGAGTCTATACATAAATAGTTTCACTTGAGTTTAGCAGTTTAAAATCTTAAAAGAGCTTTAATTGACATTTATTATGCCAATTAAGCTTGAAATGGGGCAATGGATGCATTTCCCAAAATGTCTGAAAGCACTAACAGCTTACACTGCTGAGCGAGAATCTCCTGGGTGTAATTTAGCCACTTAGGGAGCTACGTTAACACTCTCAGGCCATTATGGTGCTGTTATAGCCTCAGTGCACTAAATGTGAGTGTTGGTTCTTTGCTGTTTTGTATTCATCATACATTTATTGACACTTTATGGAATAGTCATTGTAAATACACTGAAAGTATAGGCAATTAAAAGTGATTCTTGAATAAAATTTTGACCAAGATTATTTTTAAATAAAAATAAACTGCACAAGTATTTATCTATTCCCCATATCATGTACCATGTAATGGCAAGTATCATAGAAAATGCTCTTCTATTTTCTGCATTGGTTTAGTCCCTTTTGTTCAATAGAATGAAACCCTACCCTATCATGTGCCATCCTTTTTCCACTCTTTTTCTTTTTATTATTAATTTCAATGAAAATTTACAGAGACTTTGGATTTCTGTTCATTCATTATTGCATCATGTGTCATTCTTATAATCTCTGCCATACATAAGCCTATCATGTCTCACTGAGGGAAGTAGAAGTCTTGGATTCTAATCCCAGTACAAATAGAATATGATTTAGGCATGTCACAAGCTCTCTGAGCCTTGGCTTTCTCAGTAGAAAATCTAAGGATTGGACTTGGTGGTCTCTGAGAATCGCACTCTGCTCCACACCTTTTGCATATGCTATTCTCCTTGGCAGTTTTCCTATTCTCCATAAGACTCATACGAATCCTATGTATTCCTTAAATCTCAAGTTCTGAGACTCTTTCCCTGAATCAATCAAGTCTAACCATTATATATTTTCATAAAACGTTGCTTTTCTTTGTCTTATTTATCATGGTTACATATTTATATGTGTTTTAATTATTGTGGCTCTTGCTTAACTGTCAAAATCCCCGGGGTCCTTAATATAGTATTGATGAAAATATCTTTTATAAATAGCTCTGCATCCCCAGTTCTCAACACAGTTCCTCCTGTACAGGATTTACAATCCTACCAGACCAAATCTGTGTGGCTTTCAGATATTGAAAAGTAGACAGTATGGGCCTGTCGTTTCTAAGAGAAGGGAATCAAATGAACTGAGCCTCATGTCAGAGCCTGCAGATCTTGCTGCGTTAAAGGGGGTAAAAAAGTGAGTAACAATCCTGAAAAGGATAGAGGTAGAGAGTGATAGAGAGAGAGAAAGGGATCTAGAGAGTTGTAGAGGAGTACCCTTGAGTATTTGACTGAGAATTGATCTGCTGAGGCTAGAAGGAATCATCAGAAAGAAGTAGGCAGAGCAACCCTGAATGTTTACACAGAAGTAGGAATAGTTAGTGTTCTTAACAGCCAGAGTGCAGTGACCTGCTACATAGGACACTGGATTGGGTCCTCAGGAGGGCATTTCTTCAGTAGTGGAGTAAATGTATTCTTAGACTGAAGACTATCCTGAATACATTCTCAAAATCTTGAAAATAAGGTTAAGATTGTCCCAAGTAACTTATACATTCTAGAACAAAACTCTAAATGGTTTAAGGTAATATATGCAGAAACATCACCATTAAAAGCCTAAAACTGAATAGCACCATATTTACAAAGTTTGATATGCAGTAGACACTTGACAGAATATTCAAAAAAGCAGGAAAATACAACTCCACAACCAGAAAAAAAAAACAACCAAGAGAAATGGATTCAGAAATGAGACAGATAATAGAATTTGAACACAAATCTGTTAAAACAGGTATTACAATGATAGTAAATTAATATTAAAATATTTTAAAATATTAAGAAAATAGAAGAAAACTTGATCATGGAGAAGGAAATGGAAAAATATTTTAAAAGATCTAACAGAAATATTAGAAATGAAAAATACACTACCTGATATTTAAAAATTAATACAGCTTATGGAGTTGATGGGTGTCCAGGCAGCAAATGGACACATGCTTAGCTGCTAACTAAAAGGTCAGCAGTTGAACTCAATCTTGGGGAAAGATGCGACAATCTTCTTGTGTGAAGAAAAACATCTCAGAATCCCTGTGGGGCAGTTCTGATCTTTTCTGTAGGATTGTTCTGTACCAGAGTTGCATCCACAACAATGAATATAGGAATAACAGACATAAACACGGTAGAAGTAAAGATGAGTGAACTTGGAGACATAATAATGGAAACTGTCTTTAATAGAGCATATAGACCAAAAGGGATTGAAAAAACAAACCAATCCCAAACAGTACAAAACAGTAAGAACCCATCAAAACCCAGAACAAATTAAAAACCCACCTGAACACCAAAAGATGGAGCTGCAGAACCATATTAAGCAACCCAACATAGAGATAACTGTAGCCCTCAATAGGTTGGGTAGGAAAGTGAGTTAAAGACTTAAGACATAAAAGACAAAAAAACAACAAAAATACTGAAGAAAAAAAATGGCTTTCAAATATCCAAATTTTAAAACTATAAACCTATTTATAGTTTAAAACTATAAAATATATTTAAAATAGAAATTTATTTAAAACTATGAAACTATTTCTAGTTTATTAAAGCTCGATAATTCCCAAAGCAGAAATGTTTAATCTTTCAATAGTAACAGTTTCAAGGACCTTGTGAGGGAGGGCTGGGAAATATTTTAATTTTTCACTTCCCTTTCTAAACACATATGAATAATTAGTTCAGTTAGACTGACATAGTCAAACCATGTCCATTAGTCACATGAAATGAGTACTTAAAATGTGAGTGGTACAGTTGAGGAAATTGAATTTTTAATTTTATTAAACTTTAGTACTTAAATTTGAAAATTCAACTATTTGGAAACTGTTAGGTATGCTTGGAGCAACTGTAAAATTTGTGAAATGTATATATGGATCACTTATTTTCATTATAAATTTGTATCTGAACTGAGATGTGTTCTATGTATTAAATACACATGGAATTTCAAAGATTTTGAGTGAAAACAGAAGGCAAAATATCACATTAATAATTTTGTATTATATATCAATATTTTGGATAAGCTGGGTTAAATAAAAAGTATTATTAAGAGTAATTTCATCTTTTTATTTTTTCTATAAGAAATAGTCTATTGGAATATATAAAATTAAGTATATGACTCACATATTCCTATTGGCTGCTGCTGTGTAAGACCAACTACTAACTATCTGTGCATGATTTGAAGTACTAAACTGTTGAAGGGTTGAAATAAAAATTTAAAAAAATATGCCAAAGATGACATTTTAATTTGAAAAGAAAATTTTTAAGTGCTTTGAAATAAGATCACATTGCTACCACTTTTTTGACAATAAAGAAAAGATTCCAACTTAGAGACAACTGGTAAATCCTTAAATTGAAGACCTAGTAAATAGACTAAATGTATCAATGAGTCATCCAAAGATGTTTTTAACAAGTCATCCTTGTTAAAAGAAGGGAGAAGCTTATTTAAGAATTAGACATTTGAGAAAACTTGGTCTTAGTGCTATACAGCATTCATGGACTAGTTTGGGTAGTCTATTTTTTTTGGTGTGTATTGTATTTTTAAAAATATAATCTTCTATATATTGTAGTAGCAGCAGCTTATATGTTAAACACTAGAAAAACAATTTTATGTGTTAGCTTTAGTGAAATAATGTTCTGATAGCCATTTTAAGAAATGTATACCTCAATACATACATAGGGTTTTCAGAGGCCTGCTATTTCAGAAGTGGATGGCCAATCCTTCTTCCTAGTCAGTCTTAATCTGAATGTCCAGATTTAGAGAAGTATCAGACAGACCAGCATTTTATAGAAAAAGTTAAAGGTGGAGTTAGAAAAGTTATTGTGGAGTTAACCATTAGTATCAGTGTTGTCCGTGCCTTTGGCACATGTGTCTTTACCTACTTATTTCCCTGCTCCACCACCCACCAGGATACCCATCCACTTCTACCCACTCCCTTCTCACTACTGGGCCAACTGGCTGCATCAGGATGGATGGTGAAGAGATTGAGATTGTTCACAGCTTTAGTTTGCTTGGCTCCACAGTCAACACTCTTGGCACCAGTAGCCAGGAAATTAAAAG